TGATTTCCAAGCATCTACGTGAGAAAGGTCTGTAGTGCTTGGCACAGCTTTGCTCAGGAAGCCGTATGCAGCAAGGCTTTTCTAGCACGCAAAAAAACCAAGAATCCCAGCGAAAGTTAATGGGCAAAACACTTGCTGTATCATCAGTGTGACAGGTGATGCGGAAGGAAGTTGACATGCCCTGAAGATTGCTTTGGAATAAAAGGCATTGCCTTTGATGCTGCTGAGTTCCTCCCCGCAGCAACTACCACCTGCCGTCACTGCAGAAATCAAACTGTTCCCGGGCTTCAGTTTAATTATACATACACGCCTGCCACAGAGGTGAACATCGCTAAAGGTCCTGTGATTTGGCAACACCTGCGTTAGTTACTTGTGGTTTTATGTCTTAAGAACTTTTCCAGGCATCAATACAAAATAGTAAGGAAGTTGGTTTGTCTAGTGGAAGAGAAAAATGGATATGGAAATGTAGAAAAAAGAATGTAAATGGCAGCAGACTAATAACCAAAGGCTGCATTTGTATTACTGACATTACGGAATATGCCAAATTCAGGATTTTTACTGAAACAAGAAAAAAAGAAACCAATCAGGACTCTATTTGTAAATGCTGTAAGTCCTTTTTGATAAGCCGCTTTTAGAAAACTAAACTTTCCAACAATAGATACTGTCTGAAGTGTAAGGTATGTGAAATCTGTAACCATATTTTATCACAAAAACATACTTAAATTTGTATATAAGAAGGAATAGATACAATGAGTGTGATGTGATTTGTCTTTTGTTATAGGATATCTTCATTGAAAAGGAGACGTACAATAAACTGAAGCTGGAATTTGCCTTGATCTGGAAAAAGAATTAATTTTTTTTTTTTCACAACCTGATCTAGTTGATGATGTCCCTGCTCACTGCGGGGTGGGGTTGGACTAGATGACCTTTAAAGGTCAGCAACCCAAAGATTCTATGATTCCATGATTTGAATCCAAAATCTGTTTTCTGTTACTGGTGTTTTTTGGTAAAGTTACTGCATAGAAAGCATCACAGTTCTGATTTCCAGGGAATCTCATTTTGGAAGGTGGTAAACATCATTTTAAAAGCAATGTCAAAAATAATTTTTCTAACACTGCTTTATGAGAAATTGTCATTCTGATTTTGAAAAAGCATATGGTTGTTACTGTACCTTAGCTTATTTATTTAAAAAGAAACAATTAAAATTCCAGTAAACGTGTTGGCACCAGCTGCTGTACCTTATTACAGTTGAAATGGCCAACATTGAAAAATAAATCATTATTTCTTAAAACTAACTTTGGAGAAGTATATGAGGTTACGTGTTTCGTCCTCGCATGCTTACATGGTACGTTACATTACACTACGTGGTGACCGTAGTATCTTCCTGCTAGCACCTGGCTGAGTGCTGGTGGTTGCTCTGTGGCACAAGCCAGTAACCCTGCTCTCCTTTCCAAAACTAATTCAGACCTATACTGTGCCTCTACAAGGAGTGTTGACAAAGTCTTATTTAATGGGAAGATGCGGGAGTCTTCAGAAAGCGAGCCACAACTTATGTGGTGAAGCTTTGTGAGAAGGGGTGGCTGTCAGGCCCACGGCTGAGCAGAAGGCCACTCATGGGAAGAACAGGCTGCATGAAGTGTTTTCAGGTGGCTCTAAGCTGGCTTTCGTTATTTCAAATTTTAAAAGTGTATGTGAATATGAGGAGCGTGTAAATATGTATGTATATGTATATAATATTCTCAGCTACTCATGTTTTTGTAGAAGACACCACAAGTTGGACAGTAGGGCACTGGGAGGGAGAAGTGGAAATCTGGAAGTGGGATAAGGAGGTTATAAAAGCTTATCCAGTATGTGTGCCTAGTTAGATGCGAGTTGATTAGAAGGCTGAGCAGTATTAGTACTGTATTAATACTCAACAGAAGTTCAAAGCTGCACTCTTTGGAGAAGAAATTTCCACCTTGCCTCTAAATCAGTACTGAATTGGTTCCAGTCTGCTGGCAGCTGCCATTCAGGTGGGGTCCCACTGTCTCTGGTGGGGAATACTCACAGCATGTAATGAACCAGCGCCAGAAAGTCAAGGGAAGATGTGGTGCTGTGAAGTAAGGTCCAACTAAGTGAAATCCACTGCTTCTCATTACCAGATGTAGATGTGGCTGCAGGAGCCCAACACTGTTGACTATGCACTAAATACACATTATTAAGATATATTCTTCAGATGTGCTCCTGAGCCTTCATTTTCTACATGTAGAGGATTTGGTCCCGTAGTTATGCAGAACAACATTTAAAGGTGAAGATTAGAAGGGAGAATGCAGAATACACAGGAAAGTGCACTTTGCTTTTATGCTTGTTCATGTGAAGTTTCTGTTACACTTCCAGTGTACTACATATGCATTATACTCCTGAATTCTTGAATATGCAGCAATGGTTGTGCGTAAATACCAGTGATAATTCTAGACGTGCTTGGTTCAGAACAATTTTCCATAATCTGTCTCATTTTGAATAACTGATAATGCCATACATTGTCTAAAGGTCAGTTTTGTTAAGACTGGGAAAAAGGATGTTTAGTTCAGCTGAGAACATAGATATTATGTGAGGCAACATTAAAATTGCCATGAAATACATGAAAGATATGATAGGGTTTGCTTTATGGAACTAGGCCTTCATCTGTTTAGTCTAGCATCTAGTCTTTGACATAAGTGAGAGATCATCTCATCTTTCATGAGGTCTTGCTCTAATAGCTGAATTTAACTCTGAAGCATGGATTGTAATATTAGTTCCAAGGTTTGTTACATTTGGATATTTTCACTTCTAACACGTTTTTTTCCACAAATGGATATCCAATACTTTTTAAAAACCTCGCTTTTGAACTTTTACTTCTGTGGCGTCTTATATCCGCTAGTTTTCTTAACATAATTTCATGATGTGTGAATAAATATTGCCTTTTATTTGTTTTGAGTGTAGATGTTGTCATCTATGTGTTGCAGTCTGTGCCCATAGCCTCCAAGCTGAATATAAATCCGTGTTCTCCTTGGTTGGATGAATAACTGATTTTTTTAAATTGAGAGTTTATTTTTAAAAATCTTCACTTGATGTATATGTCATTGTTTGTTCGGTTTATAAATACTTATTATATTTTAATTGATAGTAAACTTTCTGATAAGTCCAGAAAAACTTATTTTTAGGTGGAGACAGTAAATTAATAGGAAAAAATGACCTTTCAGTTTGATATGGAGTAATTTTTGCTGACAGTGTTAAGGGAGTTTCACCAATACCAACAGGAGTGTTGCCTCTACCAATATTTTCTAAATACCAAATCAGGGTAGTAAGTTTATTTGAGATACCTCCCAGCAAACCTCCTTGCAAGTTTCAAGTCTTATCTCTAGCTCCGAGGGGAAAATTGCTTTTTTTAACTTTCACTCTTATTAGCTGTATAGAACAGTAGCAGATAATAAAAAGTTAGCCATCTGCCATCCAAGAAGTTATTAAATAAGTTATTAAATAAGTTTCTACTACACAATCCTTAATACTGAAGGTGATGTACAAGCCAGATCTATACAGGATGCCTGTTATCTCAGCTTGAATTTCCAGATGGAAAGAAATCTGTCTATTTGCTAATATAGCAGTTTTTATCCAGACACTGTAGAGTCAGTAAACACAAACCTTTCCAGGATTACTTTTCCCAATATACATTTTATTTAACAGCACTATCAGCTTATATATACAAAAACAAAACAGCCAGTGTTTCTCTGCAAACGACTCAAGTGCTTTTTCATTCCAAGATTTTTTCAGTCTAAATGAATTAGATATCATGGCAGAAAAAATTACCCTGTTATCACAGAATTCTAGGAACTTTAAATACTATGTAAAATATAATTCCTGTTGTGATTCGTCTGTAGAAAGATACTTTCCCTAGTGTTCTCATGATTTTAATTTTTTTTCTAGACTCACCTGAGAAAAAGAAATAATGAAGTCAGTACTACTCTTACAGCTTAATTCATTTTTTAAATGAAAGAGCAGCCTTCCTATTAGATGTCTCAATTAAAGGCTCATTTCTGTTTCTGACAAAACAAATGAACTCTTTGTTTTTAGCTTTTAATCTTACTTATGAAGGTCCACAGACTTTTTTTTACTTGCTATTAAACTGAGAATGAGTTTTTTAATGAAAGCTGTGCTGAAAGCTAATATTTTAAAAGATGTGATCCAGCACCCTTTGAGATGCTTCTTTTTATTTGGTATTTTGTAAGTTTTTTAACATTGAACTGCATAAGAACAGAACAGTGTTTACGACGAGTGTTTCAAATTACCTCCTTTTATGAAAAGGACATATCTGGAGTTTTAAACATTTGTAAGCTACAATACTCAAAATTCACAAAAGTCACCAAAGCAAGTTATCAGTCAGTCAAAAACCAAGGAAAAGGAGGTAACTACTTATGTAGAAGAGGCAGTCATGTCTAACCACTTGCTAACTATGACAAAAAAACAGGACAGTATCAAAACAAGCAACTCTCCCAATAGTTGACTACTTTATATAGACTGATGAAACAGTTACTTTTCTCCAGGCTTTTCTTCTAAAAAAAACTCTTGTATTATTAGGTTTTGTTGATGGGATGTTCTGAATTGCTTCTTCTTAAAGGTGCGACGGCATTTAACACATCAATACCAGGTCATTTGGTGTCTTATCCAATGTCCACCAAGACATTTGGAAGTCCTTCTGTTTAGTTCTTTTAATTTCAACCTAATTCCATGCTGTTTGTAAAGTATGGCAATGATCTCAATAGTTCCACTTGCATATATATATATGCATATATATATATTTGCATTTATTCTTTCTTAGAAATTATCCCCCGTGGTTTGTGTTTTCACCCTTATGTGTGTAGAGAATTTTCATATATACCAATATTATCTGCAGACCTCAGTGAGAACTGGAGCATAGACACCACTTAGCGTCCACTCTTTATGCATCAGAAAAATCTACTAACATTATTTTTTGTTTATTTCAGGTTTCTTTTCTCCATGGAAAACTCCAAAGCCTGTAAGTTCCTTTTCAAAATTATACATACTGAGTTCATAAGACTACTATCATTCAAAGCAAATTTCTGTAGACTTTCATCTAACCCTCCTGTTCCCAGCTCATGAGACACATCTCAGCAGTGTCCCAGTTCCAGGTGAGACAGCATAAGGGGTGACCTCACTAAATAAGATCTGCAGGTCTGTTGATTTGGAGTCTGACAGCAGTGGTCTGGAAAAAGGAACATCTCACTGATAAAATGGGTGTCAGGAACCAGAAACGCAGTGGCTCAAAAATGCAGGGTCTGGAGGAGAAGGCAGCAGAAGACCCCAGCAACGAGGCCAGTCTAGTTGGCCTTCTAGCTGGCAATCTCTTTGAAATGGACAACATGCACTTTTTCTAGTTTACAAGTGGCTTGAGCTTAACATCCTTGAAGTGATTGTTATTCTTTCTTGCATTAGTAGATCTAGAGCTGGAACTAGTCACACTTCAAGTGAGAGCTTGGTCTAGATAACTTACTGAGGTGTCTTCTAACCAACAGTTCTGTGTTTCTATGATTTTGACATTCAATCCCAAGGTGTGAAGATCTTTTCTACTGTAAGACTAAGCAATGACTGTATTTATTCTGTTGACAGCACATTATATAATTTTTTGAAGTTGAGATAACATTCACAGTGTAAAAAGAAATCATAGGCTACTATTTTCGGTTGCCTCGTTTGTTTTGTTTTGTTTTAATTTGTTTTTTTTTATTTAGAATGGAAAAGTGCTTATCTCTCATCAGAGGTGTATAGAGGAAAAAAGAACCCTGACTCTGCCTGAAGGCTTCTAAGAGCAACAGGAATAACAGCAATATTTTAAAAAGGATTTATAGCTTTCTTATTTGGGGGTGGAGGGGTGGTATGTTGAATCTGGACAACTTCACATCCTCTCATGTTGGATCACGGCATGTTTAATGCATACCAGAACAATTTTTGTAGCCTAAGTACAAATAGCAAGTAATTAATCAGCTGATGCAACTCTATCAGACTGCTTCAGCTTGTGGTGTTTTTGATGTAAAAGGCTAGAGGATGAATGCAATATACTGGAATAAGTATTGTGTAAGGTTTTTTATTCATCTATGTGACAGGACATTTGTGAAAATAAATCTGACTATTAAGGTCTAGCTTGTTCTCACCACTTTAAAGTTGCTGTCTGGCTGGGACGTTCAACTTTTAATCTCAGGTAAAAAGTGATGAAACAGAGAACTTGGAACTTACTTGTTAAAGACCCACATTCAACGGATGAGCACTGTGCTCATCCTCTTTACATATACATCAAGTATATAAATATCAGCATATTGTTGACGATTGTCTGCACAATTTTGTTATATAAACAGTAGAGTAGTTCGTACTCAAGTAGCACTTGCCAGTAATCAGAATATAGAGAAACAACCCAAGTGATGTGCTTTTCCATGCAATAGTCTGAGGAAACGGGGGCTCACAGAGTAACATAACACCTTTACGTACAGATACTGCCCCTGCATGCAGGCTAACCATTCACAGCTAGCCTATTTTAGGATAGCCTCATCAAGAATGTTTACAAATTATTAACCAGATTAAGGTAGTGTGCATTACTCTGTCCGTCACAACTTTAACTAGACAAATAATCAGACATAAATTTCTAGTGCCCATGACACGAAGATAAGATTGAAACTCTGAAGCACTGTCTGAGACAGCCTGAGCAGCAAGGCCAGCACCAGGAGGTTTAGAAAACCTTCCCAGCACCAGAGCACAGCCCTGTAGGTGTGTAACAGGAAAGAAAAACTGTAGATGACCCAAAAATCAGGTTTCTTTTCTGCTTGGGTGACTACTGTTGCCCCCTCGCCTATCTGGCCACACAGGGGAGAAGCACCCACCAGTCTTTAAAGCAAAAAGGGGATCAGGGCCCACTGGCTGGAAGAGGAGAAGAGACAAGCCCCTCTCCCTGAGGCAGAGGCTCAGGGATGGCGTGCACTGCATCTCAGTGTGCTCAACATCCCAGAGTAACCTGGACCGACAGAAATTTCCTGTGGTTTCTATGTATATCGTGCATCTATTATATCATATGTAATACAATTTGATTAGTGCAAAACGAACTCGAACAATGTCATCGAACCACTACCTGACTTAGATTTGACGCCCTGCACTCAATACCATGCTTACCCGTTTCCAAGAGTGCCTTCATCTGCGAGCTAGCATGATGATAACTCACATTGCCAAACACTATGTGACTATTTAATTGGTACGGGTTTGGGAGATACAATTCCCCTTGTGTTTATCTGTTTGTGTAACTATTTATGTTAGCGGTATTACCCACAAGTAAGAATGTTTTGCTTGGCTTTTAACTGCACACTTGAAGATATAGAGCTAACTAGCAAGCAAGAATTAGACATAGAGGACTCAGCAGGTATGTAGACTTGTATTACAGAAGTGTAAATTCAAGGGTGTCCAGTTTCTTGTCCTTCCTTCAGGGAAAGGTTTACTCATCAAAGATAATGATATTTTCCTTTCTCATTTTAAAGTCTTCTTTGAATATTTAATTTTATTCAGTTTCACATTTTGAAAGTGGTAAGTGTTCTATTTCTCTGGCACTGTCCAAGAAATTAGGAAACATTCACTTCTAGATAGACAGGGCCCCATATGTCTTTCTGCTTCATAGCGGTAAGATAGATAGTTTGGTTTCACTGACTTGTATTCTTTTTTAGAGTCCTCACTGAAGGAAAACCTGAACATAATTCTCTATTTTTTTCCCTGATCATAAGGAACTTGCATTGAGCCCCGTTCTCGTTCTCTATTTAGACAGAGGGGTCATAATCAGGTTTGTTTCTGGAGACCTTTGAATTTACACTTCTGTAATACAATGATATACTGTATATATATTTTATATCTACCCAAGGTAATTCCTTTAGAGCCAGAAGAGCTATCAGAAGTATTATTGTGACATTCATGCGACTAGGCTAATTTACCCAACACAGAGGAAAAATCTACCTTGGTATAAAGGTACCTGAAGGTACTTTCCCGTAACCTATTTCGATGACAACTCAGGTATCGCCATATGTCACTGTATTGCACAGGGTCTACATACCTATAGTGCCCTCTTATATCACATCCTAATTGCTGTCTTTTGTATCTGACCCAAAAGAAACATGTCTTTCTTGAACAACATTGTTGAATATTGAGTACAGTATTCCATATCTTCATCATTAGCACTTCATAGGTCTAATACTTCACTTTCCTAACTTAAATATCATACGCATACTAGTGCATAAGAGTCATCCTAAGATTAAATGAGATACCTAGATCGTCCTTTTGTTCATTGTTTATAATGAACCAGCCCTACTTACTGCTGTGTCGCGGGTTAGCCCCAGCCAGCAACTAAGCACCACGCAGCCGCTCGCTCACTCCCCCTCCCACAGTGGGACGGGGGAGAGAATTAGGAAAAAAACCTCGTGGGTTGAGATAAACACGGTTTAATAGGACAGAAAGAGAGAAGGAAACAACAATGATAATACCAACAAAGGAATGTACAAGAACAAGTGATGCCCAATACAGCAATTGCTCACCACCCGGCGATCGACAGCCCGTCCCCGAGCAGCGATTCCTGCCCCCCAGCCAACTCCAGTTTATGTACTGGGTATGACGTCGTATGGTAGGGAATATCCCTTTGGCCAGCCTGGGGCAGCTGTCCCGGCTGTGTCCCCTCCCAGCTCCCCGGGCACCCCCAGCCCGCTCACTGGCAGACCAGCACGAGAAGTTGGACTGTCCTTGACTGCTCAGCAACAACCCAAAACATCAGCACATTATCAACATTTCATCATGCCACATCGAAAACACAGTCTCACACTAGCTTCTGTGAAGAAAACCAGCTCTATCCTGGCTGAAACCAGGACATGCTGAAACTCTGACAGAAGCATAGCTTGAATTATAACACTACTCTGTATAAATAATGAGGTTCTCAACAACTGAAAATGGCCAATAGCCACATTCTGTTTATTTTGAAGTATGAAGTCTCAGATCACCTGGAATGCACAGAGTGATAATTACTCAGCATGTTCTTCAGGAAGACTCTCAAACATCTGTAGTCCACACGCACCTGATGTGGCAAAAGCCTGATGCTGTTAATTATCAGAACGGAGAGCAAAGCCTACCTGCTGAGCCAAACACCTTCTGAAACTGAAGAACTAAAGGCAAATGATAATCAGATAATTTGTAGAGCAAACTTGCTGTAAACCCACAATCATCTTTGATAAGGCACTGCTGATACAACACTAGAAGTCAGTGGTTCTTAATTACAGTTCAGTTCGTTTCCAGTAGTCATCTTGTGTGTAATTAACTGATTGCTGGGTTATGTGTGAGAACACACTGTTCTGGAGGCTTTACCACCCTCTACTCCAGGAGGGGTCACAGGAAAGCCAAATATTCATTTCCTGGAATAAAAATTTGTGTTTTGTTTAACTTTTCCTCTTCAAATAAATTTGCTAATGCAATTTAATTAGTAGCCAACTCCTTCAAAAAGAAAATGCAGATCCCCAAGTCTTCTTTTGCACAGCCTATCATGTTATCTCCTTTCTGGATTGATGAAAGACCACTAAGAACAGTCTTGGAGAAAACATGGATTGAGCTGGCTTTCGTTAGTAGACAATACACTGTACTTCTCTCCTGTAAACGGTCTGGAAGAGTTGAAAATCTTATCCCTGTGTTTGGGGGTTTGGTTGGATGATGCCAATGTAATTTTTTATATAAGAAAAAAGCAGCAAGAAATGAAAAAGACTGCATCAGACCAATGCTGACTTTTCTCTCCCTGCATTCTGTATTTTATCACTGAACATTTGACTATCACTAGGTGCTCAAATACCTGCTGTAATAAGTTTTGCTCTTTTTTTAATATATTTTTCTTCTATTGAAGGTGTAAAATTTGCTCAGTAGTCTACTCCCTGGGCAGTTAGCTATTTTCATGCATTCTCAAAAGATACAGCATTAAGATCATCCAGTTGCTACCCAGCCTGGACACTTCTTTGTTAAGCGCTACTTTGTGTTATGCATTTTGATGAATCTGATAATTGTATCTTCACAGACCCACAGATTCCACTTTTAGCAGAACAATTTCCAATAGCTCAGAGCATTCTGTGAGTGACTCAACACGCTTCAGGGGTAATGCTGTGCCCTAATCCACATGGGATCATATTATCTGAGAAAGATCACATCTTCCCACGATCTAACCAAGATCACATCTTGGTTTAACAAGTAAATTTAACCAAGTCATTTTATAAACAGCATAACACATACCTTTCATCTCAAAAAGCAGCAAATTTGGACTTGCTAATTTTACAAAACACATCTTCAGCTGAAATCACTGTCTTTGGTCTCATTGTGGAAGTCACAGTTATTGCAAAACTTCATCTTTATTCTCTGCATGTTTTTATTCCAGATGATGGAACGATGGGAGAATCAAGGCAGCCCTCAAACAAGCCTGTCTGCTCCAGCTATGCCACAGAATATTCCCTACCCACCCAGTCTTCACAGGAGTTCATTTCCCGATTCAACAGAGGCCTTTGATCCACGAAAACCTGATCCATACGAGCTGTATGAGAAATCAAGAGCTATTTATGAAAGTAGGCGTAAGTGAAAGCCCTGCTCACCCTGCTGACCATTTAATATTTGAAGCTTTTGCCTATGAATGTGTCACTGCTGACATAATTTTCTTTAATTATCTTTTGTAATTTAGAGAAAGTAGTTATAATCACAGTTAATAGAAGCCATTATAAATTATCCAAAAATTCTACACTTATATATTTTCCTAGATCTTGACTAGATTCTGAAGTTCAACTTTCATAGGTTTTTTTCCTTATATTTTTGCTCTCCTCGTTTTGACTGCTAAATCCTTAGTGAAGAACAGTATATGTGCCACCACATTTTGCTGTGTTATTTTTCTTCATAGCCAACCAATAGGATGATGTGAATTTATCAATAAAAAATCATTTCACTTACTTTTACTTTAAGGTATAGTTTACTAAAGAAATTTCAAATTCATTTGTTTTTATAAAAATTACTTCGACAAGTTTTCACATTGTCCTTGGTAGTTATAAAGAAACCCATAGCAATGAGTGCTATTTGAAGACCTGTACAAAACAGTACTGAGCCATCGAGATTCCCATCTCGATTTTATTTCTCATGTTTTGGGGAGGTATGCCACATATTTTGCACAGCAAGGTTAAAGGGGGGTAAACTTATTTACCCCTTGTCATAAAGAACATTTTAGCTAAAAATATTATTCTAAATTGTCCAGAGCTTTTGCGCTTAGTAAGATCAAATCTTCAAAATAGTTCATTTTTTTACTGAAAGCTTTTTCATAACAGTTATTACTTGTACATGCCACCTTTCAATTAATTTTATAAATTACTTTAGCCTATAGATCAAATTACTTTATAAATTACACATAAAATATGGCACTGCAGCTGATACAGATTAGCCCATTAATATTAGTTGGGCCCAGAGACATAGAGAGAAATTTAAACTACCATAATACATGACCTGGAATGTACAAGTCTCTCCAGCATGCAAAGGGACAGTCTGAAGGAAATATGTTATTGTCCCAAACACTGGGTTGGTGCCACTCTTACTTGCCTTGGCCCTTATACTTTAGTTGCAGCACCAGCATCTCCTGTTTGGCTTTGGTATTTCCAGTCCCCAGCAGGATGGATATGCCAGAGAAACACCAGGTTTCATTTTACATCAACTCTAAGTTAATTCTAATCTCTAAATTGCATCTCAGATTCCTCATTCTTTGCCACTGTGGCCAGTGCCACCATCTTCTGCCACCCTGGTCCATTTAGTGGAACATCTTTCAGTAGAGATTGTCACCATAAAACTCACTTTCCATCATCCAGATGTTTTTTGGGGGTTTCATTTAGGTTTTTTGATTTATTTAATAGGTGCCTTAAATTAAGATCCCAAGTTTAAAATAAGTACTTATATAAATTGCTGGCTTTTTTAATATATGAATTTGAGAACTTACTTGACACCTCCTATGAGAAGTATTTATCTTCAATTATAAACTCTTAGGCGTAGGAACTAAGTTTTCCACTGTATTTACAAACACCATGTAGCCTATGCTGGGTGGTATTTTAATATAAAAAATATTTTATACTAATGTAACATCTTCCTCTGCTCCAGGTGTTATTCTTGATTGGACAGAGTACTCAAGACGATATACAGACAATATACAGACAGAAGCTATAATTTTTGAAATTTTAAAACTCTTTGCAGTATCTATCAGGATACAGTGTGGAGTAAGCCAAATAGGTTTGAAAGAAGTAGGACTAGCTTTGAGCAAAGTTTGGAAGTAATTTTCAGATATCTCTCCTCTCTTTCTCTTTCTCTTTCTCTCTTTCCTTTGTGCATTAAGGGCTAAACTGACAAATAAGAGAAAAGATCTGCCAGAGCTGAAATGCTTTTTCCCAAAGTGCTGTGACTTGGGACTAGAAAGAGAAATCGAAGGAGAAAGAAACAATTATATCATTAACAAGGGTTTTATCTAGTTCAGCACCTCTACTGAAAACACTCTGATTTTATATACTGCTTTAAGGAAGGGAAAACCCTTTGCAAGTAATTGCTTCCCATATGAGTAGTTTCTAGAGCTGAAGTATTTTAGCAAAAATCTGCATTTTCCATTCAGCAGCGTCAGAACCATCTTTTGTGATTGAAGCCATCAAGCCAAAAGTGGAAAAGCAGAGATTACAGACTTCCTGCATTGGAAAAAAAAAAAATTTGTAAGACAATTGAGAAAAAGTTGTACACGCCATATGCATATATGGCATACATATTTATACAGCGTCTGCTTTCATCTTGGTCCCCAATATGAAGAGTTCTATATTTACAGAATTACCCTAATTAATGACAGCAAATAGGCTCAATACATGTTTGGATTCATAAAACTATGGGATTATAGATCTGATGTCAACTACAAAGACTGCCTTACACCCCAAAAGATGATATATTACACCAAAAGGTATGTCACACCATTCGTTAAAAGAATAAAGTGATTCATTATTATTCATGGGTGCCTTCTACGAGTTTTCTCCATACTTCCTTGACCACCATGAGCTCCAATCTTTTACTGATATAATCGATTGTGTTTAGGAGCATATGCTGCATGAGGGGAAGAGCTGATAACTCGTAGGTTATACTAAAGCTTGTGTTTAAATGCTTTAATTGCATTTGAGTTCTGTCCAAAAGGCAACTGGAAATTGTACACAAGCCTTTTTCAGGCAGCTACTGAGACAAAATAAAAATTAAAAATCATGAAGCTGTTAGGCCCAAAACAAGAAAGTGAGGGATGAAAAGCAAGAGTGCAGTAACCACTCCTCCCAGATTTCCAGCAGTGTCCTGACCTTCCAGCTAATCCTGAAAGCTTTAATTTGTTGTCTTCTGACGCTGGTATCCTTTGAACATTTTCTCTAAGCCTTGATTCAACAATTCCCAACCAGATCTCTTCTGCACCCATTCATATCCCTTGGTCATAAATAACTGCCTCCAAACATCTCTGTTCTCCCTGACATTTTTGTTTCTTGAATGCTATAAGCACAACTTTTAGCAAATGCAGTTTGTCAAGCCTTTGATTTTGTCCTCTATATAGTGCTGGTGTTTCCTGAAGTGACAGAAACAACAGGAAAGAAATCCATTACTGAGTCAAGAAATTGTCATCTAAATTGGGTATGTGGGAGGGAGAGTTTCAAGTTAATACACACTTGGTTTCCTACCATATGGCTGTGTCAGGTTGGTTACCTTCGGTAAAGACATACCCTTGAAGTGTACAGGAAAGCTTCGGCTACTTCAGGGTTTTTTAAGTACTTCTTATGTCAAAGCAAGTTTGCCTTATGTCCTGGCAAGACCAGAAAAAAAAAGAGGTTCATCTTCTAAAAATAGTGCAAAGAAGCAAACAATCATGACCTGGAAAACTCAAAAAGAAAGAGGTAGTGTTAGGTTTTTGTTTCTCTCACAGTGAGACTCTGTTACTAAACACTTCATTTTCATACTGCTATAGCTCTGAATTTCTACAGATCCTTTTATCAGAGGATCCCATCACAGTCAGCACTCACCAGGACCTCATCAAAGCCTCCTGCTTCCCTATCAGGGAGTTGGCAAGTTATGCATCACACTGTAGTTCTGTGAGGAGCACAAGCGACATGACTCGAAGCAGAGCAAGAGCCAGACCCGAGGAGCCTGATTCACAAGCTTTTGCTCTAGCTGCTAGGTATGCTCATCCCTATCTGATGACAGCAAGAAAGAGGTTTCAAGCAGGAAATCTCCATCAAAAAGGATGATTTTCATTCTATAGGAATGTTCTTCCGCCTCAGGCACATGAAGGACCTGCATGACCCTGTGTGATAGGGAGATTTGAATTTTTAATGATCCCTTATGAGTTACAAAGGACTAGTGCTTCCGCACTGGGAACGGTTTCAAAGGGGCAGTTCTACCAATAGAGCGTGGAGACAAATCAAATGATGCATTAGTACAAAAGCAGAGTGTAACTCTATTTCATAAGTCGTAGCTCTTTGGAAAATTGTCAGGAGCGAGCTCTTACCTGTCAGCTCTCACCCGTTAGCTGTCGCCTGCCTCGGCTGTCACCCATCAGCTGTGCTCAATAGCTCCAAGTAGCCAAAAAGGAGCATAAAGTGGCTCCAAAGGCTGATGAAGATTGCACATCATCCAAAACAGCTGCCTGAAAGCTAAAGAAGGGAAAACGTTTTCTTCTTTCTTTGTCTTTCCTTTTTGCAGCTATGTCTTTCTCTCTGCTTTCTTTTTCCTCTCTGGAAAACCTGCCTTATGCACTGGTTTTTTAATTCCCTGGCCCCCCCACCCCGCCTTATTTCTCCTCCCTGGTGAAGAGAACCTACCTAGCTTTCTGCTGTTACATTATTTTGCAAAACTCAGAAATGGAGGAGATGACCTGCCGAAACAACTGGATATTTTTTTCCTTTTTCCTTCCAACTATAAATTTTAGGCAAATCCTTTAACTCCTTTCTCCTTACGAAAATTCTTAGGGTGTAAGTGACAGCATGACTCTGCTGATAACCGTGGAAGTTAGGTACAGGAGCTAGAAAATGGAACATAGATCAGGAATTTCCTATTAATGAAAAAAATTATGACTTATTGTGCACCAGTTGTTACAGCTGTAACTGGAGCCCCACAGCTGTCATTGGGAGAGCTCATTCTCTGGAATTTAACATTTTTTTGCCTTTATAAATCCTCCTTATCCTCTCTTCTATTTTATATTGAACTCTGTTTACTGTAAATACACAATTTATAACAAACTTTGTTCAGAGACCTGTGTAGGCAGACATTAGTCACACAGGAGACACAAAGCTGTTGGGAACCATAATGCTGTAATATTTCTCTAGTTACAAAATGTATAATAGAAATTTGCGTTTACAGTCCTCTAAAGCAAGCAGTAAGATATAAGCTTTTTTTACACTGATTAGGTTACGCTTACCCTTCAGTTAGTGTGGTAGTCCAAGACTGGTGATGTGACACAGAAATGCCAGGAGGAAGAATAAGATAAGCCAGTGATAAGCTCTCATTAAAAGTGAAATCTGAACAATTACAGTTCCACCTTTTA